GATCGCTAAAGCCTGGCAATATATGCCCTGTAGAAATGCTATCAGAAACAGTATATTTCACAAAAATTCTTGCAAGAACCAAGTTCTTGGCAGATTTCAGATTCTGCTTATCATCATCAGCGCCAACTCAATAGGCTCCATACCTCCCTTTCACCTGCTTGCTTCAAGATCATCCTACAGCGTATTGTTTCCCAGGTGGTAGGACATGACTGCCAGTGTGAGCCCGTTTAATTTCAGACTAGAGCTTTGTGTCCCAGGCAAAAATCCAGGCTCATTGTGCATAAGAACTCCCTTGGGAAAGTTGGAAAGCTTGTTTTAAATGCTTGAAAGCTTTGGGGGAAGAGGCCATGCAAGCAGTAGGATCTGGGTTCTGAAAGTCAATCCCCGTGCGTGGGGTTTTATGTTGGTTTTGTGTTGGTTTTTTTTATTATCAGCAGGAGAAAGTCAATCTGGGGTGTGTGTGTTTATTTTTTATTATTAGTTGGAGCAAAGATGAGTCAGTCGCACAGGCTGTGCAAGTCCCTGCTTACCGTGCGTCTCTGTTCTGCTTGGGGAATGCTGAGCTCGCTAATATTCAGACAATTCAATTGACGATCATGAGGATGCAGAAGCGCCTTGGATTTGTTTTCTGTTCTACTGTGAATGCGCAGAAATTTAGAGTCCTGCACTCTCTCAGTGCTGCAACTTTAGCACTTGTAAGAGTAAAAATCGTGCCTTTAAAGACTGTAGGAATAACTACTTTATACAGGAAGCAGCTTTTTTATTTTTTTGACTGAAATGGCAGGGATAGTTTCCTAAAAATTGTATTTCTAGGTGGAACTAGATGTTGGATATCGTGCTAATAAGTTACTGGAGCTTCCTAATGCTGCTGCCTTATTAAAAAAAAAAAAAGTTTAAGACCAAAAACCTAATTTCCTTTCATCTGTAAAATCAATTTCCTTTCCCTCAACTCAAAACAGATGTGTTTTCATAACAGAAATGGTTTGGTATTGTGTTTGGTGCATATGTAATGTGCTGCTGGTGCTTGCCCAGTCATGTTCTCTTCCTGCATGTGCAATTTGGAAGGACATATTTCTTCTCAAAATCGCTATCTCGTGAAGCAGAGGAGCTAAAGACCACTTGAGAGTGCATATAGCTATCCTGGGCAGAAGCAGGCGGTATTTTTGTTAGGGTTCAGTTTTACACATAAGCAAAGGATATTACAAAGCTGTTGAGTTACGTACTGATGGTTGCGTAGTGGAAATATGTCAGGGGTCCAGCTAGCCTGAGGACGTTTGTCCTCAAAATCCTCGGTATGTTAAAATCCCTTTGAATGCTTTCAGAAGAGCTGTTGACGCAATATGCAAAGCCTAACCACTTGCCTACAGTTAGTAAACATGATTAGTTTGATGTCTCTGAGGCTTGAAGTTCTTTTATGCTACCTTTTGTTGAAATCACAAGGAAGTTAAGCTCCTAATTCAGATCTGTAAGTGCACTAGTATACACAAATGCCTAGCAAAACTGAAGAAGACTTTAGCCACTGATACTGGGACTTAGCTATTTATCCCAGGGGAAAACGTAAAATTGCCAAATGCCATGTGAGGAAGCGTAAGAAAAATAAATATAATTTTTTCAGAAAAAATGGCTAATATTATACACAAAGGCTGAGATTTTGCTACCAGTATAATACCTTGTACGAAACTGTGAAGTGTATAGCTTCTGCAGAGTAATGCATCCTACTAAGATGCGGGAGGACACATGACGTACCAAACACTCAATGAAACAGTAAAATTATGGAACCATTTAACTCCAGTGTTACTGATGAATGATGTGGGGGGTCGTGTGTCGCGTCGGTCCATCCCCTCCTCCCCCCCGAATTAAGAAAAAAAACCCCAACCGACCCCAATTTTGTGAATATAAGAAGAAACTAAAAAAATCATGACCATTCCCATTTTTGGCAGATTTTAAATTGTATGGGTCAGGGTGAATCATCATTTGACTGAGACCAATTTGACTGGAATGCTGCAAGTGGGTGTTTTGTTAAGGACGTTAAGGAGCTGAAGGAGTATTGTGTAATATCGATAATAAAGCAGCTGGGCATTCAGCGGAAAACATAACACGAACATCACTTAAATACCATTTGTCTTCATTGCAGAGAAGCAGTTGCACAATGCAGATTATTTTGTTCAGGTCAAGCCTGTAGAAATTGTAAGAAAGCTGGCATAAATAGACAAAACGGGTCGTAGTCATCGCTGCACAAGGAAGTAGGGGAACTGCAGCATTTCAAACTGACCATCATTCAGAAAACAACACAGAACCGATTAAGATGCTGTAACTCCTCTACAACTCTATTTTGAAAAAATGAAGAAGCTTAAATATTTTAGTATTTGAACTAGTGAAAGTTAGAAGTGATTTCAGTTACATCTATTAATTGCTGTAGAGTTTCACAACAGGCTTATTAACAACTTTGCAATAATTGAACAGGCAGAAAAGTAAAATCCTTCTTCCAAGGATTATGGAGAATGAGTCGTCATTGTACCAGCCATAGATTAAAATCTCTTTTATGAAATAGGGTGTTACTGCAGGATTTTACATGGAACAACTGTGAGAGATTAAGCTGGACTGAAAAAATATGAAATGCATGCAGATTTAAAAAAAAAAAGGGGGGGGGCAGGAAAAAATATCACTGAGATTAAATTTAACATTCAGGGCAACAAAAAGGGGAAGTTCCTAAACTTTGTAATGCTTTGTGCTACCAGCCGATCAGTAGGAGAGGATGTGAGGGGCTCGGGCGGTATGCCCGATGCTCCCCGCAGAGAAGGGGCCGTGTGGCAGTTCCGATTCTGAAAGAGCCGGGGGACTCGTTCCCAGCTTGCCGGGCCATCATTCGTCTGCTGTTGCCCCGGGATCCCAGCAATTCCCTAGGACAGAGAAAAACGTCTTGACCTTGTGAGTGGGATACAGGGTCTTTGTTCCAAGACCGAGCCGTGTACAAACCACCAAAAAATACACCAAGATTTGTTTCGGTGTGTCAGATCAGTGCTCAAAACAGCCTTCATGGTTATAGGCTGGTTCTTATTTCCGTGGTGCTCAAAGCACCAAAAGACACTTAGATAGCTTGCTGTAGTTGCAACAGGCCAAAGAGATTACACCAAAATGATCTTCATGGGCCAAGTCCAAATCTTTGCTGGAGATAATGCCTTAAGGCACGGATCACGACCTGGTGCAAGCTGCCGTGGTGCTGCTGTGAGCAAGTGCGCTTGGACCACCAGCTCCTGCCAGCTTTCTCTTCTTGAAAAGAGCACTTCAGCTGTGGCACCAGGAAGGTGGCTCCTACGAAACTCTAGCCACGTGTGCTCGAGGAACAGATGTGAAAGCCACTTGAATGAAAGTACCAGCTGGAGTTTTCTGCAGTAACCAAGGACAATTACTCATATGCGCAGACATAGGTTTTCAAAAACGCAATGCCTGTCGCAACAAGGCCCTTTGTATTTTAGGGAGTGACAGCTACTCTGCAGAGAGCGGGATGGACACGCTGGGAGGAATCCGTATTTTCTTGCAGCAGATTGCCTTTCTGATAGCCGTAAGGAATACTTCAGACCAGAGACAAATCGTTTAGTACAAGTGGTGTAAGTGTTAATGTTTGTTTTCAAGGCAGGTATTCCTGTAGGTGACAAATAAACACAATTCCCATTCAAAGGAAATGAGGTTTTATTAAAAAGCAGGAAAGTCCATGTTGCCCCTCTACTTGCTTACTGATCTACTCTTCTTAGTGGAAAAGAAATTAAAACACTGAAACATCACAAGAAATAAACAAAAATTAGCAAGGTGAAATACTATAAGCCAGAGAGCAAGTTTTTGGTAATATAAAGTGAATGTTGGATGTTACAAACTCAAAACCAGCAGCTTGTTACCATAGCAAATATATTGCATTGCATCAAGTGATGGAAGCTATAACATATCTAATGTTCTGAATTTCAAATGTACTATTTTTATTGCACAGCTGTTCCCTATAAAGACAACGGTAGCAATTCCTGAATTTTGTTTTTCTGTTGCTTCTTCAAAATTCAGTCAGTATTCTGCAAAATAAAGTGAAATAGTTGACGTTCAGAACATGCTGTATTTAAATAGCTGCAAGCTGATATTTGGAAGAAGGCATGGGATGCTAGCTCTACAAAACTCCTATTTGCTGCATTTATTGGACTTCTGATGAAGCTGTTTAGTTAGCTGTATTTAATATATGTGTAGCTTAGTATAGAACAAAGCCCCTGCAGACTTTATCCTGCCGAGCAGTTAAGGTGTGTGACGATGGAGACCTCCAACAGGAAGGTGAGAGGAATGTGGTAAGAGAGAATTTACTCAAGTAAAATTTAACATGTAGCTGCTGGATGATGTGTTCCGTCTCCCTGCAGAGTCTATCTGTATATAGACATATTACCTATTACAGACTTTTTATACAGATAGTTTGCTTTATCCTTTGAGAAATGGCTAGTCGGCAATCGTGCTACACTGGAATCGCAGCCTGAACCTTCAGCCTGACGTTAGGATATCTGTACATTAAAACTTCCCGTGACGTCTTTGCAAGGTTACGTGGAGTGTATGTGTAATGTCCTATGGTGTTGATCAGACGGGGATTACTTTCATGGAAACTTTACCATTAGTATCTTGCACATCATTAATAGTTTGACAGAAATCAGAAAATAAAATGAGGGTATCTGCAAGAGAATATACATGTTAGAGAATGCTTACCTTTGTCTAAAGACAGGAAAATAGCTCATGTTTATAGTTTTCTGCCCCAGGGTTGGGAAGAGTCAGACTTTCCCTGGAATTCCACTTGCAAACTTTTATTTGCATGATAAAATTTAATCATCCGATAGATCCTGTTGTCTTCAGTTACTTCAAACATGTATGTTAGGCAGGTACTTCATGCTTCGTGAGCCTTGACTGCTCGCCCTCCTTTATGCCGGTGAATGGAAAGACAAGACAATTATCTCTCTAATTTGATTCATAGAAACTGTGAGTGAAGTCTCGGATGTTGCAGCTTCTTCTGCCCTTGAGGAAAACTTAGACAGTGTCAAGGAAGGAGTAGCCTCAGCAGCTCAAGAGATTTCTGACACATCCTCAAGGAGCCAGGACGTTGATGCTGAGGAGTCGGGGCAAACTTCAGAAGGTGCAAGAGTACAGCTGGGTCTGAAATGTTTTGTCTCTGAAAGCGCTAATGGCTGTTTGCACTGAACTAGCTGCGAGAGCATGCAGAACCCGAGTGATGCAGTGTGGCTGCCAGTGATGACTGTGCTTGGCATCATAGTGTTAGCAGAAGATTTAATTTCGAAATGATATGCCATGCAGTAGAAATCGGTATTGCTGAGTTGGATCGCGGGGGTGTTTTGAGCTCGGTGCCCTGCTAAGTGGCTAGACGTAAAGTTCATTAAGATCAAGAAATTCTCCCTCGTGCTGCGTGTGATGTAACACACTTTTTAAACACCTGACTTAATTTGAAAGATAGAATTGTCTTAAATTACATTGCTGTAAAGAAAAATATTGGGCTTGTGATGTTTATAAGCCTTATAAACCTTACATTGCTTTAAATAAACATTTAAAAGTAAATTTTTATAAACCTTACAGTGTTTCAATGAAGCTGTAAACGATCTTATATTGCTATTGAAGTTGAACAATAGAATTGAATGCGAAGAAAAATGTGTGTTAAAATCATCACTGCGGAGATTTTCAAAGGAGTTTAGAAGTTTGGCCTCTAAACTCTTTTACAATTAGAATTAAAAAGCTAGACGGAAAAATGGCTGTATACCTAATAGGACTTTGTAAATTGTATCCCTTTAGTCCAAAGGGTCCTTTGGACTAAGGATTCCTTCCTTTCCAAAGGAAACAACTTACTCAACTATTTGTTGTCAAATAAGTTGTTTCCAATGTTTCTCATTGGTGTTTTGTCTCCATTTGCAGTTTCTGTGGAGGAGAAGACACCTGAAGAAGTTGCTAAGGAACCCTAAAGGTACACAGCACAATTGCGGCATGTGGTTTCCCGCTCTTCACCTTTCTTTTTTTTCTCAGTTAGTGGCAGTTGCAGCATGTGGTAGGTCTGCACATGCGCTCTGATGGCGAATTTGTATTTCTGCTCCCAACAAATACACTGCAAAAAAGAACTTAACCAAAGTATTTCTCATTGTTTGGGAACCATTGTTGGCATCTTTTCGAGGCTAGGGAGCAAGGCTTTTCTGTATCAATTGTCACGCTGGGTATTTATTTATGGCTTTATCTTAGTCCCATGCAAACTGGATAAAGACCCAAGAGCCGTAACTTTCTTCCAGGCAAAAAGTGTTCTTTGGACATTGATTTAAATTATATAGATACTGGACTTCTGGATTATTGCCTTACACAAGCAAACTCTTCTCTTGTTATCCTCAGTGTAAACATGGTGAAGTTGTAACCCTCTGGACTGTTTTTTTTTAAGACATTTTTTCACAATTAGTCTCTCTGCACTTTTAGTTTGTGCTAATGAAAAATACTGAATAGAATATTCTTACTATTTTGCTAGTATCTGCCTCAGTTGGCTTTATTAATTTATATAATAAACCACTTCGTCCACAATATTCTTACTACTTTGCTACTCCCTGTGACTCCCCTTTCAAAAATGGACTGTAAGATGGTGATAGAAACCTGAAGGAATAAAAAGTTTGGCTGAAATATGAACATGAATCTTGGTAGAAAAGACATTAACTAGAATAGAAACAACTGAAAGTTGAGCAAATAAACCTCCCAGGTCAGGAATTCTCAAAGTTGTTTTTGCTGCTAGTTAACAATTCATACACTAATTCTTGGAGCACCGGTGCAAGAGGAGAAGGAAACCGAGCAAGGAAAGTTATTATTCATTGCATCCTCAAAATGTATGTACTAAATACACTTATACAACCTTATCGTTATGTTCTGAGTCCTTTGCAAATGCATGTTTGCTCACATAAATGCAGTGACATAGAGAAAGCAATGGAGTTAGGAATCTTTTTTTCCCCTGTAAACCTCTTGCAACCCTAAAAATTGTTGCATTGTTATTCCAGATTTTGATTTAGACAACAAATACCCAGTATAGCCTGTTCAATTAATGAAGGCAGAGACGGTAACTGAAAGGGGTGGGAGTGGAAGGGAAGGCAAGCTGTAGGAAGCACCTTTGATGGAACAAATTGAAAATAGGTGAAAAACAGACGAATCTGCTACCAGAGTACAGGTCCACTGAATTCTGCTTAAACTGCTTGGGCTCTTTTTGACAGAAAAATTACTTTTTATGAATATAGCATCACAAGGTTAAAAAAAGGGTCTCTTAATGAGTTCCAATTTGATCTTGTTGGGGAGGAAAAAGTTTTATAAAACATTTTACCACTTAGTGCTGGAAGATTGCTGGCTGACTTTTTCCAATTTACAAGTCAAGAGCCACAATGCATTCCCAGTCAGGAAAGATTTTTTTTTTTTTTAGTGTATGTTTTGATTGTAAGCACTTTAGGGTATGGACCTTAACTTTAAGTTTGCATTAAAACACATTATACTTTTTGAGGAATTCAAAGAAAAAAAAAATCAAAAGAATGTTGATGGGAGAATCAAATCAGTATCCAGTTACCTTTTTTAAAAAATACTAATTATTTGGTGAAGGGATAGAAGTAGTAATGGATGAAATCCATCAAATAAAGCCTTGAATTGATGCTGAGAGCGTGCCTGAGTAAGAATATACTATTGTTGCCCTTTCTTTTCAGAGTACAGCAGTTCTACTGTGTGTGGCTGCTGGCCCCAAATTCACACTGCTATGAAGCTACTTGTATCAGTGATCTCAGCAAACACAATGGGTTTACCTTGTGCTTAAAGTTAAGCAAGTAACTATCTGTAGAAGTAAAGCTTAGTGGAATGTGTCCAGCATCCAGGGGAATTAATTTATACCTGAGCAACACGGCTCAGGTACAGACGAGGGATTCCTTGAAACGGGGCTTTGTTGGTGGTAGCAGAGCAAGTTTCCACAAGCCATCAGATAAGCACGATTTACGCAGCAAGTGTTTATATGCTGTAATTCACTTAACTGATAACTTGCAGTCAAATTTACAGTGTTTGAATGTTTGCAAAGAAAAAAGACCCGATGAATCAAGTCTGTTGCTAAACATCATGTATTGTTGCTTCCTCTAAACCAGATTCTTTTTTCTTTTTCCCAGTAAGCAGTGCCGAAGCCTTTGAAAAGTTTAATGGAAATGTTTGTGGCAATCAACCAGCTGATTCCTGTGTGAAACCTCATACTCTTCCTTGGAGACATAAAAGAAATTGTGCAGTTTGTCAGACCCCACACTGCTCATTAGGACCAGTATTCATTGCTGCAACAGACACCCTAATACCATTTAAGTTGGTTAGAGAGACGCTCCTGTGATTAACATCTCTGCTTTAGAAAGTAGCATCCAGTAATAACTGTCAAAGCACCACCCAGCATGTAATTAATACACGTGCTAAGAGAAGCCGTAGACTTAACTGAAACCACATCAGGTGAACTCATTTTAGGTCTTTGTTGTCTCGTTATGTACATTGATTTCTTATTTTTGGTCCAAACTGTGGTGCATAATTACACCATTGTAACAGTCCATGCTAAAATGTAAGTAAAAAGTTTTAACTAAGTTAAAATCTTATAAAAATTACCTGTTAGTATTTTTAAATTGGGTCACGGGGAAAATAACAACCTTGTTTGCTCCCAAGTTTGGATTTGCAATTGTAAGCATAGGACATTTTCTATGTCTAAGATCTAATTTTCCTCCTGCATAAACATTTTAGATACTACCCTTCCTTGCACAATAATATCCAGGAGTAAACATTTTTAAGGCTTCTGCTTTGAGAACAAAACCCGTTTGCAAGTAGTACTAATAAGTGCTTTATAGCATGAAAATCAAAATAACATCGGTTGAAGTTATCATCATTGATCAAAGTGGTGGCTCCTACCTTGGGGGTGCTGGGCCCCGTTCCTACCAAAACTTATTCAGCTTGCTGTAGTCTTTCTGTGTTGTTCTGTCTTAGCAGTGACATGCAGCAGTGGCGTGACAACACGGAGGTTTGAGAGAACACTCTTGTACAAATCACGAGCAATTTAGGCTATGGTAAAGCTCCTCTCCGAGCGCTTGCAGATGGCCAGCAAAATCCCCGTGGAAGGCTGTGCCACAGCTGTTCAAACGGACAAGGATTCTTAGGGACTAATAAAGAACAGAATAGCTAAATAATCTTGTCTTGTTAGTATTATCTTAATAATAAAAAAAATCTCTAATGAATAATGGGTTTGCATGACACTGTTCTCCTAACCCTCCATTGTGCTATGGGCACGTGCATGAGTGTGCACCTCCTACAAACTTTTTACTGAGACTCCCACCTCCTAAAAAAGCATTACAGCCATCACAGAATGGCGATAATTCTAAACCAAGGCCAAATAAGGTATATTATACATGCTTTATATAGGAAGTGTGAATTAAAGGGTGTATCTGACTGCTTTCTCTTCAAGCAGAACTTTGGAAAAATGTTGAAAGGGAAATTATAGCATTATGACATTCCTACCCATGGCACAAAGCAACACATGCTCCTTCCCCCATCGTCAAGCAAATTATAATAGTGTTCCAACAAAAATGCAGCCTATTGCCCTTGTACCTGCTTAGGAATAACTGGAATAATGCAGAGGCAAAATCAGGCTCCTGAGCTTCAAGCAGCCATACCACAGCCTTCTGCTTAAAGGATAAAGCCACTGTGATTAAAAGCAATTTTTGTAGACGAAGCTACTGGAATAAAAGTCTTAGACTGATATTTTGTTGGATGAGAGTCTATCTTTATTTATCTGGTAGATTAAACATCCTATGATGGATGCATACTCTTAAATGTTCCATTTCCTCACTAATTCCCAGTGAAAGAAACTGTTTCTAATTTCTGCAGCTGGCAGTAGGGTTTCTGAAATTGTAGGCTTTGCTGAATG